AGTCTGAGGGTTTCAGAGTCATTGAAAGAATTACTCATAGAGGAGCTAATACAGAAACCTTAAAGCGACAGAGGTCAACATGAGAAGGGGATCAGGAACCAGTGTAAAGATCAGTCAGAGATGAATCAACATGGGTTGTAACACATTTGTACATGGAAGCAATGCTAAGAATATTTCTGTATAGCTATCCTTAACTCAACTAGCAAAATCGCTTTGATTCCTTATTATGCTTATGTCTTCTCTTCAACAAAATTAGAGATAAGGGGCAGAACAAGTTCTGCCTGGAAGTGAGGGGAGAAAAGGGGAAGAGGGTGGTGCAGTGGGGGAGGGGGGAGAAATGACCCAAACAATGTACGCACATGTGAATAAATGAATAATAAAAAATGTTTAAAAAAAGAATTACTCATAATAGCAAAAAAAAAAAAAAAAAAGAAAGAAAGAAAGAAAAAGAAAACCAGGAAACAATCCAAATGTCCATCAACTGATGACTAGATAAGCATAACATGCTGTATGCTACAACAGCATATGGCTTAGCAATTAAAATGAAGTGGGCTGGAGAAGTGGTTCAAGTGGTAGTGTCTGTTTAGGAAACGTGAGGCCCTGAGTTCAAATCCCAGTGCCATCAAAAAGAGAAAAAATGAAATGAAGGACTAATACAACATGGATCAACCTTGAAAACATTATACATAATGAAAGAAGTCAGTCACAGATTGTGTGATCCTATTTCTGTGGAATGTGTGAAAGAAGTAAGTACACAGAAATATTAGTGGTTCAGAACCTCAGGAAAGAGGAAACAGGAGGGATTGCCAAGGAGAATGCAGTTTCTTTGGTGGGTTTTGAAAATTTTCTGAGCTATAAATTCTAGCTACTCAGGAGGCAAAGATCAGGAAGATCGTGGTTCAAAGCCAGTCCCAGGCAAATAGTGTGCTAGACCCTATCTTAAAAAAACCCATCACAAAAAAGGGCTGGTGGAGTGGCTCAGGGCATAGGCCCCGAGTTCAAACCCAGTACTGGCCCCCCCAAAAAAGAAAGAAAATTTTCTGAAGTTAGTTGTGAGTTGGACAATTTTGTGAATATCCTAAGATCACTTTATTTATTTATTTAAACTTTTTATATTTTGAGGTACTGGGGTTTGAACTCAGGGCCTACACTCTAGGCCACTCCACCAGCCCTTTTTCGTGCCCAACCTGGGCAAATAGATCCTCCTGATCTCTGCCTCCTGAGTAGCTAGGATTTCAGGTGTGAGCCACCAGTGCTTGGTCTAAAACTACTTTAAAAAGGCAAATATTGTGATATGTGAATTGTATCTTCATAAAGCTAATAGATTAGAAAGAAAAGAAAAATCAGGCTGGAGGAGTGGCTCAAGTGGTAAAGCACCTGCCTAGAAAGCATAAGGCCCTGAGTTCAAGCCACAGTATTGTCTAAAAACTGAAGAACATAGGCAAGTGAACTGTCCAGATAAAGAAAATAGGATTGCAATTATGATATAGTGTAAGAACTTCTGGAAATGTCACAATGTACCTCCAGTACAACGGTAATTGGACGATTAGAAGAAAAGAAAGGAAAATAGGATTGGCGATGCTAAGGTCTGAATGCCTTGTGTTCCCCCTAAAATTCACATGTTGAAACCTAACCACTTAGGTAGAGCTTTTGGGAGGTGGCAAGATTGGTACCCTTATACATGTGGCCTGAAAGAGCTTTCTCATCCCTTCTGCCATGTGAGGCCACAGAGAAGGCACCATCTAGGAGGAGCGGGCCTCACTAGAGATGGATCTGCTGTAACCTTAATCTTAGATGTCCAGCTCTCAGAACTGTGAGCAATAAATCTCTGTAGTTTATAAATTATCCAGTCTGACGTCTTTTGTTATAGCATCCTGAATGGGCTAAGACACCAGGAGACATCTATGAAGTGAATGAGGCTTAGCTCAGGGCCTCTCCTTGCACAGACCCCTGAGAGAGTAGGGAGCTGCAGGGAGAGGTGGAGTGTCCTCGGTGGGAGGGGGATACCATGCTGTACTCATGCATATAAGGATTCTGGAAATCACCTACAGCTGTGAGAAGAAGGTTGCTTGCAGTTCCAAGACTTCAGTAATTTGTTTCCTCACTCTAGATCCATACTGATCCAAATTTTGTACTTATAATTGCATATTCCTTTTCTTTAAAAGAACTCCCCAAACCATAGGAACTTCAGGTTCCAGCAAACCAAGGCCTGCCTTTGCAGAGAGCTGAGGGTCTCCCCACAGTCACTGAATATCACTGTGTGACTTGCTCCAATGGCATGTAGCTGCTTGGGTGCAGAAGACAGCAAAGTTGGGTTTGTCCAGAGTTTGGGTTTTGTGAGCTGGGACTGTGTCACTGGAAACGTGGACTAAAGAATTTAGGTGGGTGGGCAGCGGAGGAAGGAGAGGTGGGAGAGAGCAGGAAAAAGCAGAGGTGTCAATTGACCACAAGAGCTGTTGAGAAGAAAAAAATGGTTGATGGGAGAAATTGAACAATCGAGCTGGAAGAAGTGTGGTTTAAGTTGGGATTAAGTGGTGTACTGAGGGTTACAAGAGTGATTATTTGAGGTGATCAGAAGGTCACAGAAGAAAATATGGTCATTTGGTTTAAGGAAAAGTCTAAACTCAGGAAGATCTCCAGCTGAGTGCTGGTGGCTCATGCCTCTAATCCTAGCTGCTCAGGAGGCAGATATCAGGAGGGTTGCGCGTGGTTCGAGACCAGCCCAGGCAAATAGTTCAGGAGACCCTATCTTGAAAACACCCATCACAGAAAAGGGCTGGTGGAATGACTCAAGTGGTAAAGCACCTGCTAGCAACTGTGAGACTCAGTTCAAACTCCAGTACCGCCAAAAAAAAAAAAAAAAAAAAAACAGCTCCCAAAACTTGCACCATCTTTCCTTTGCTGGCTTCTATAACCTCACCCAGTATGACAGCTCTGTCTCACTGAGCTACTTCCAGCCTGAGGACCTGCACCATTAGCAGTTCTTCTGTCTGGAATACACTTCTCCTGGCTGAGCCAACTTCTGCCTATCCTGAGCTCAGATGAAAGTTTCTTCCTCAGGGAAGTCTTTCCCCACCAACCCCTACCCCTGCTTTCACAAACAAGACTCTGTTTTTCTTCTAAAGCATTTTTCAACCAAATCATAGATATTATGGGGTTAATTATCTGTAAAAAAAGGTTTTTTCCAGGAGAGATGGGGGCAGGATAGGTCTTGCTTATCCCAGATCCTCAGGGATTAGGAAATATTAGACATTCCATAAATATTTGTTGTATGAAAAAAAATCTAAGATATTCATGTGTAACAGTTGCCAGCATACTCTTTAATGCATAAAGACGCCAAAATGCCATGTACTGTAAGCAAATAATGCAAATTTCCTTTTTTAAAATACTGGGGGGTGTGAGTCAAGTGGTAGAGTAGCAAGCACAAGGCCCAGAATTCATACCCAAGTACCACCAAATAAGCAAACAAACCTGTATATTTATGGAGACATAGCTGTCTTCAAACTCACTTCAATGCTGATCTGCTGCCTAGAAATATGACTCTAAAATAACATAAAGATTTCTTACAGAAAAATGAGATAACTGAATGTCTTTTTTTTTTTTTGGTGGTGCTTGGGTTTGAACTCAGGGCCTCACACTTGTGAGGCAGGCACTCCACTGCTCCAACCACTTCAGCAGCCCTTTTTTTTTGTGATGGATATTTTTGAGATAGGATCTCACAACTATTTGCCCAGGCTGATTTCGAACCTTGATCCTCCTGATCTTTGCCTCCTGAGTAGCTAGGATTGGCTTAATTTTTAGTTTTAAAAGCAGTTTATGACAAAAATGGAGGGAGTGCCCCCTCTTTGTATGCCGGGACTTTTGTCTTGTAACCATCCCAGCACCTAATTTCTCACCACCACCTATAAGGTTTGCAAACAGGAACTGCTGAATACAAATACTGTGTTTAGAAGGAAATGCCCGAGGTGATGTTTCTCAGAAATGCTCATTTAGCTCTTCATATTTTTAGCATTTTACTATATATATATTATCTTCTAAAATTTGTTCTGAGGTTTTGTTCCAAATACACTGGAGAACATAGCATCATTACAGATCATGTTAAACTCAGGACCAGGTATTAATTGTAAAGCAAACGAGTAGGCGAGGAGAACTAGGGCACCCAGTAAGGTTTTCTTTCCTAGCCAACGTGTCCAGGGCAGATTTTAAGTAAATACAAAATCAAGGGGAGGGAACAGCCAAGAAATGGAGGGAGTGTGAGACTAACATGTCCCACAGATGGATCCAACCAAGTCCTTCGGCCGAACCGGGCGCTCCCAGCTCTCTGACAGGACTGCTCTGGGGGTTCCCCGTCACCGCCATCAGGCTGGTCGCCATGGCGCGTTCCCTCGTCCTCCGGGTCGGAGCCCTGCAGTGTGGCGCTGCGGGGACAGGGGGATCGCTGTTTCCCTGCGGCCCTTTTGCTTTTCGGGCTGTCAAGTACAGAAAAATGCCGAAACCCCCGATGTCGTGCACAGTATAACTCGGAAATGACACCCGGGCAGAGCCAAACCCGGAGCGATCGGGCTATCGTCCCTGCTCCCCGGCAGCCCGGGCGGCGCTGCGCTCCCGTAGGGCTCGGCCACCTTCCCGGGCGCGATCCTGCCGGGGGCCGCGGGGCGCCAAGGACCCCGCTTGGCGTGCGAACTACAGATCCCAGGGTGCCTCTCGGACGGCCGCTCGCTCGCTCGCTCGCTCCCTCCCTCGCTGGCTCCCTCCCTCTCTCCGCCGCCCTCCTCCCCGGCCCTGTTGTTTGGGCTGGAAGCGCTCCGCGGAGTTTCAGAGAAAGTCTGGGCGCAAAGCTGCGCCGGGCGCGCGGAGGAGGAGAGGGGAGGAGGACAGGGAGGGAGAGGGACCCCGAAGCACACAGAGGAGCGATCGGGGCCCGGGACAGCGCCGCCCAGGACCTGCCTCGCGCCCCGGACTGGGGGAGGCGACGGGGGAGGAGCGCTAGGGGACGGGACAGCGGGATCCTCCCTGGAGCTGGGCCGCCCTGCGCCTCGTTCCTTCGCCGCTCCCCGCCCTCCCCGGCGGCCGCCAGCGCAGACCCACCCTCCGGCAGGACCTGCGACGCCCCGCGCCTCGCCGCCGACTCGGCGGCTCCCTCGGTGGCTCGGGACTTGCCCTTGTGGCCGCTGGCCGCCGGAGCTTCGCAGCTTCTTTTCTCCTCCCCGCTTCTCCGGCGCCGGGAGCAGCGACCCGCCCTCTCCGGGGACAGGATCGCGCCGGGCGCACCGAAACCGAGAGCAGGCGAACCGGAGAGGGCACCGCGCGGGGGCATTGTGTGTGCGTGTTTGTGTGTGTGTGGCAGCGTTGTGTCGCCTTCGGAAAGCGCTCTGGGGAGGTCCTGTCCCTAGGAGGCGGAGCGCACGGGACCAAGCTCCGGCTCCGTGTCGGGGCAGAGTCCGCGGAGCCCGGACGCTGCCGAGGCGGGCGCACTGCACGGAGGCCGGCGAGTTCTCGGCCCCCGCGGGCTGCGCTTCGGCTCTGGTCGGCGGACCGGCGTTGGAGAGGCTCGATCGCGCGCGGCCCGGCCGCCCCGTCCAGGAGACAGCGGGGTCCCGTCCACGGCGCGCCCCGCAGGCGCCGTCTGTGTCTGTGTCTGTCCCGCGCCCATCGTCCCTCGGTCGCCCGACCCCGAGCCCGACAGGCGCGCGCCATGAGCGGCGGCGAAGTGGTCTGCTCGGGATGGCTCCGCAAGTCCCCGCCGGAGAAGAAGTTGAAGCGTTATGTAAGTAGAGCTCGGCGACCTCCCCTCCGCCCCTCCACGGCCCTCGCGATCTCCGCGCGCGGGGCTGAAGGTGCCACTCATCCCCGTCCCTGACCTTTGGCCTCTTCCTTTCCCCGTTCCCCTTCCCCTTCCCCACCCTGCAGGCTCGGGACACAGTGTCCACTTGGCCGGGCAACTTTCTTCCTCCGAATTCCAGATGGCCTCGTCGCCCCGTGGCAGGGCCCTGGTTACAGCCCAGTGCCTGCTGCGTATTTTTGTTATTCCTTTTTAGCAGGGGTGGGGTGCGATGGGGAAGAGGAGTCGCCTCCTTTATGTGTGTATCTCATTGGGATGGAGCCCACGGGCACCAACATTTCCCGCACTGGGAAAAAACACGGGGTGGTGGACCTCATCAGTCCTCCCTGCGGTCCGCGCTCCCTCGCCTTTGCCCCTCGAGGTGGGTTGCGGGAAGCGAACGTGAGCCTGGGAAGAGGGTGGTAGAGGCGAGCATCGCAAACGCGCGCCCAAGAGAAAGAAAAAAAGTTATTTCGCGCCCTACAGGCTGCTTAGCAGGGTTCACATTTTCGCGGTTTTGAATCCAGGGACATTTGGAATTTGGCCCCAGAGCACTGGCGGTTTGATTCGAGAGGAGGGCGCTGGGGGGAGCCTGGTGGCTGGAGTTTGGGCGCTGGGGACTTGCTGTCAAGCCTTGCGGGAGGGGACAACTGGAGCCAGCAGGGATTTCTGTTTTGTCATTCTTTTCCAGGGCACCAGAGTGGCTTAAATGCTATCTGTGTAATTGATACAAGACACTGGTTGTGTGTGAAACCGTTTTAACTGTTAGGAGAAACTCTTCCTTGAAAGAATCAACCTTGCTTTAGTGGAAATCTGTGTCCTCTTCAGGAGTCTGCGATCTGATTCCTCCTCCCCATCGGTTCTTTGTCACAGCTCCCTGCCAAGGAAAAAAAAAATGACACTTTGTCCTGACATCTGCAGCAAATATTTTCCCAGTAAAATGTGTTTCCAAAAGCAAAAGCTGTACCCTCCTAAATAACATGTTTGCTACCTGTACTAAATAGGAAAACCTGTTTCTTGTTGAAGACTATCTACACCCAGTCCCCAGCTAAATTAATCCTGTTAGTCACTGTTTGCTTCATAAAGCAGAGCAAAGTGCAATATTTAACTCCACTCACAACTCACTGACTGGTGAGTTTCTGATTTACTTTCTGCCAGAATTTATTCTAGACAAGTAATTTCGTTGAAGGACATGATGCCACAAATCAGAAAGCTCTCCAGAGATTTTGAATCCTTCCAAATTCTGTCTCTCCATCTGTCATCATTTGCCTAACTATCTTGGTAAAGATGCTAACTGTATTCCAAAAATTTGAAAGTGGCAGTGGTTGTTTTTTTGTTATTGTTTGTTTTTCCCCAGTTTTAAGGAAAAGGTTGTGTGTGTGAGAGAGGGGGAAGGGAGATAGAGGTATTTGTCTTGAGAAACCACAGTTTAGGAAAGATAGAGACTAAGTGATTGGGTTGGAGGGGGCACTAAAGAATAAATAATATTTGCTGGCTAGCTAGTGCTAATAGAAGTTGGATGCACTCTTTCACATGTTTGTGGTTCATATAAAGACTGAGCACTGTACATGGGCACCAACTGTAAGGTCAGAAAATACAGTAAGAAAAAACCCTGCATCCTGGGCTTGTAATACAATGTAATATTAACCAAGAAGAGAATCAATCAAGAAGATTAAAAGGATCCTAAACCATCAAGCATACAAACAGAAAGTCTATATGTGTATATATTTGCATATATATCATTTGATGATTACAGCAGTTTTCTGAGGTAGGTATTATGTGGTTCACAGCAGAGAAAACAGGCTAAATAACTCACATATACCAGAGATGGGATTTGAGCCCAGCATTGCCTGCCTGACAGCTGTAAGAGGTTAATGAGTCTTGTCTAGTTCATTGTGAATGTGGAGATTAGGTCATCTCATCTCTTAGGGTCCTTCAGACTGTAACTTTCTGAGTCTGAATATTAGTTGAGAATGCAAGGAAGAGGTGTGGTTCCATCCCTTACACAGGCTAAAGCCACATAAAACCCAGAGGGGAGGGGCAAGATGGCCGAGGAGTAGAACCTTTCTCCGTCCAACCCTGTGAATTCAGAGTCTGGCTAACAGAGGGGTCTCCATACACAAGAGCCAAAAGAAAGGAAGAGCACTGAGAATCACAAAACATAAGACCCAGTCTCTGTCCTCCAGAAGCTTTTTGGGACCACCAGACAAACGTGAAAAAAGCCAGCCAACAGTGCAAAGTGCTTTATACCTGCATGTCCAAGTTGAGCAGCGTGTATGTTCATAGCTGCTTCGAGGGACAAGCCTTGTGATCCCTGAACTGTGTTTGCAGCAGAGGAAGAATATGTCTTAGCAGCTGGCAAGAAGCAAAGGCCTTTCTTTACACACCAGTCAAATAGGTGGAGACAGCCCAGGAAGACAGTGGGCAGGTGGCTGTCAGGATTGAGAGGCCAGGAGGAGGATGTGGAGTGCTGAAGTAAAGTGAGGCTTACCTTCATTTCATCTGTCATATTGGTTGCCCAGATTTTTGACTTTCTCAGATTATTGAGCTTTTGGCTTTGGTAATCAGTTTTGGTTGTTTCTGGGAAAGCACCACCTTTGACCATGGAAGAGAGACACATATATTGTAGGCCCCCAGTAGGCAAAAGGTGGTTTGCTAATGGCTTTTATTTTGAAATTTTTTTGTGTTGCTGTTGTGTGTTCTACCCCCTGAGCTACCTCCCTCCCCGTAATGGTTTTCTTTTCTTTTTTTTTTCCCGGCAGTACTGGGTTTGAACTCAGGGCCTACACTTGGAGCCACTCCACCAGCCCTTCTTTTGTGATGGATTTTTTTTTTTTTTGTGAACTATTTGCCCTGGCTGGCTTTGAACTGTGATCCTCCTGATCTCTGCCTCCTTTTTTTTTTGGGTAGGACAGGGATTTGAACTCAAGGCTCACACTTGCTAGTCAGGTGCTTTACCACTTGAGCCACTCTCCTGCTCCCGATCTCTGCCTCCTGAGTAGCTAGGATTACAGGCTTGAGCCGGCACCCTGACCCATAATGGTTTTCAATGAATAGACTCACTGTGAAAAGATATCCTGGATGCGTGGTACTCCGATTCTTAGATGAGACTAATGAGCACCATGATTGTGCTGGGAAAAACGTTGCCCATGGGATTTTGACAGTTGTCTTGCTGTGTATAGTAATTATAGGGTAGTCCAAATACTGGTTAAGATGATTGTTAAGGGCTTGTAAGTGACAGAAAAGTTGTTTCAGTTTTATCTTTGAAGTCATCTCAAGTTATGGCCCCCAACTAACTCCATTTACAGCTCCGAATTTTGTCTGCTTGCTCCCAGCCAACTGAGGCAGCTCTGCTTTCTTGGCCTCCTAGTGTGTTCATCTATGGAGACTGTCATTGATCTTCCTAGGGAGGGAAAGTGGCATACGCATACGATAAAGCAAAGTGAGGAAGATCTGTGAACAGATTTCCCCAGTCCTTTCTTCTCTTTTTTAGTGTTTTCTATATTTGCAAAAGGATAAGAACATCTTGCATATAGTTCCTTCTCTGAAGTTTTTAAAGTCTGCTGAAACTGGAAGTGAAGACTTGCATATGCTTTCTTCATCGTTGCTGTGTATTTTTTCAGTGTTCAGTGTTTTTTACTGTGTTGCTGTTTTCATTCTGTCATCTATTAAGCAGCTGTGTTTTTTTTTTTTTAACTTTATTAAGGACTCATAGTGGAGTCATAGACAGCACTGTCTCTGGGATTACAGAAAACAACAAAACTGGATGTGTACACTCAATAGTGGTGGCAGATTATTTTTTAATTTAAACTTGACTTTTTATTTATTTTAAATGGATGTATGTTGGAATTTTTCTTTAATATATTTCCTTTTCTCATTTTCTCATTTTTACATTTACCTACATGTATATACACTGTTTGTAAACCTCCTCCCTCCTCCCCCTTCCCTCCTCTCCGCCCCTGCCTTCCAGACTTAAATCTGACTTGTAACTGGCATGTAACAATTGTACATATTTATGGGATATTTCAATACATGAGTGTAGTGTGATGATCAAATCAGGGTAGTGGGCATTTTCATCTTCAACATTTACCATTTCTTTTTGTTTGCAACTTTTGAACACCTGTCTTCTAGTTTCTTCTAAAATATAGAATGAATTTTGATAGGTGTTCAGAGTTATCTAAACAAGTAATGGTGGGTTTTCAGCAGCACTTGAAGTCTTCGCTGAAATGAAATGTAAGTCTGTAAACAAAGGGTTGCTTCAAGCCAGCTGGCTACCACCAGCTGGCTGCAGGAGGGGCTTCCCTGTGGCCTGCCTCAAGTCTGGGCTCCTACATGGCCTGGCTATCAGCACTGGGCAGGGAGGCCATCTCAGCAGGACCACCTGCCTGGGAGACCACAGCGAGGTGATCTGTTTGCTCATGCCGGCTGGCAGCAAGGCCTCAGCTCAGTGTTGGGTGAGTGATCTGTAACCCAGTTTGAGATCTGTCTGCTCTGCAGCTGTCAATGAATAGCGCAGACACCCCTGGTTCTGGAAATGGGCCTAGAAACAGAAATAGCCTTTCCCACTGGGTGGGCACCTGACATCTGACATAGAAAGGGGAGCCTGGGCCAGCGAGTATCAGCATCTCCTTGGCCCAAGGACAGCCCAGAACCCAGGCCAAGCATGAAGTCTCTGCTCAACTGTGTCACTGCAACAGAAGATTGTGATGTCTGGAAGCTCTTCCTGGCCATTTTGTGATGGCCAGGAGCAGTTGACAGATTCTGAAGCTTTTACTTACAATTTTGAAGGAGCGTAATTATTCTGTTGGAGGAAATTTTTGCTTGTTATCCCCATGTTAGGAAACATTCAGCTGAAATTTCTGTGTTTAAGTATGAGGAATCATTGTTTCTAGTAGCCAAGGTCTTTAACTAGCAATTACATTAAGCTTTTATAATAGCTAATGATA